TGCATACACAAACAAAACACATTAGCAAACACATAAAAAAATAAAAGTATAACTGTGTACAAGAAATATGTTTTAACTGTTTGAAAAAAATAGCACATGCTCAGCGGTTATGTCACAGAAACCCACCTAGAGAGGATCTGTTCTTCAGTGCTGTATGTGAGAGACACTTGCATTAGTCAGAGTCAACGATACTTTGAAGAGTAGGAAAAGATCTTGGCATTGTTTCTTTAAGGACAACTTGGTGGAACCAAAGCTTGAGTCATGTTAGTTACTGTGGTACATCCTACCTATGGGCCATGAAGTCATACCGAAAGCACATAAAGCAAACAGATGCTGTGTGTGGACAGATAAACATGCATGTATGTGTATGTCGTGTACATACGTGTCTTGGGTGTGCGATGACCTGGATCACAGTAAGAATCCTTTATCCTTGATGGTTTCAGGCCATCACAAACCAACGTGAAAACCACGTACCATGGGATACAAGTTCCAAGACAGCTAAAATCTCTGGTGTGTGTTGCTTATATTGACTATAACTCACCGGCTCGCTCTGATTTTAGAGGTCTCTGTGCCATCTTGTAATCTCTCCAGTCCTTCGTACAATCACTTGGAGGTTCCTAGAATCATACAATCCTTCTCTTTCCAGTACTTCAAATTCTAGTAATTTCTTTTCCGATATTAAGCAATGCAAACTCTATGTACACATACCTAGACAATATAACAGGGAAAGTACTAACGACTGCTTTTAACTTATACTGAAATTACATTTTATGTCTTTCTTATTAACTACTGTAAAGAAAATATTAAGCCACTACTTAAATTCATTAAATATTACCTAAGCAAATAAAAAACACCAACAGACAAGCCATATTTTTCTACCAGCATGATTATATTCATCCCTCTTTTGAAATGAAATATTTTAACTTTCTGAGAGTTCAGATATTTGATCAAAAATCAACATCCATTTTACCTTCCAAAAATACTCAGACATCTTCTGTAGAGCATTCTCAAACTACTACAGATGGACAGAGCACCAGTCCATGAAGTAAGATCTATAAAGGGGAAAATATTTAAAATACGAAGCAGTTGGTAACTAAGCTTCAAAATCTAAACTATAATTTTTTTGAAGAGGTCATTTTTGCTACAAAGACTCTCAGATATAGATTAAGAAGAATCCGGCCCTCCCTGGTGGCGCAGTGGGTTGGAGCATTGCACTGTAAATCTAACCCAAACCATGGCCGCTTCACTGCAAGTTCGAGTCCCGCCTGGTGGTGACCCATATGGCACAGCAGACCTCTCCTTTCTCGCCCACTGCTCCCCTCAGCAGTGTACATTGTTCATCTGTCTGTTCTGCTCCCCACTGTTTCTGGTGAATCCTCTCCCTGCCCCAGTACCTCTGGCCTGTACCCCTTTTCTGTATGCATAAATAAAATCTTGAAAATAAAAGATACACATTAACATACATGTTAAAGCAAGAAATGTACTTGCTTTAAAAAATCAAGCCCTGAACGAACTAATTAATGAATGTAACATTGTGTAAGTTGTTTCTTCCTCAGCTCAACCAGAATTTGGAATGACCAAAAATGAAATTAAGGACTTGGTGGTACTCTGAATTAACATCAGATGCTAGCGGTCATCTCCACCCAGTCACCCCTTAATCCTTTAATGGGTCCCTGAAAATGACGTGAGCTCGCAAGTCTATCCAGTCTTTTGAGAAAGCTGTGTGTATGCTGACTACTACTTATCATTTAACATCAAGGTCGCTATGTTCCCCTCCAAGCTGTGCACTAGCACAGCTTCATTATCTAGCAGATGGCTGTGAAGCATGAACTTAGTCCTGCGCTAGATGTCATTTCACTGCGAGTGAGGAGAGGGCCTCATGTTAGTCAGCATGTAATTATGGAGTGTGGCTGAGCGGTGCAGGCAGGCCACGGCCACCTCCAGCCTGGGACATCGACCAGCCGGGACTTCAGGGTTGGCTCTCCGCATACGCAGGCTGCTTGTGTTACTGAGCATTAACATTCTGGCATGGACACACCAGAGCGACACCCTTTCAAAAGTATTGCCCGTAGCCATTGTTCCTATAAATTTACTCCTTTTTCAAAGAAGTGCAGTCTCTGTTACCTACA